CTTGGTGGAAACGCATCATATATGTATATGCTATCACAAAAGTAATTTCTATTTGCGAAAATTTATGACACATACTGAATACAAGTTTTTAAGTAAATTGCTGTTAATACTGTTTTTCCCGATACTTAACCTGTGATTATCTGTTAATTCTATTTCATTCAAGTGGTCAGTAAATAAAAATAATACCACTGAATTGATGGGAAAAATGTTAACTAATGTTTCGGATACCTTGATACTCTTTTTTAATCCATTAATAAAATATAGAATATCTTCTGGAAGAAAATGTTCTGTGGTCTTATTTATTGGCCAGTTGAATGGAATGGGATACATGGCTGATGTAACAACTACGTCAATTCTTGAATATAAATGTTACGTAATTTCTGAATAAATATGAAATATGTTGATATGTAAATATTACATTCTGGTAGAAGTAAAGTAACTGTATTTAAATAAATAAGTGCTACATGCATAGATAAGTAAACTGTTCTGGACATTTCCACCAGTTTTCATTTTTTTTTTTTGCATTAGACTAGGTGTTCATGCAGCCAGTCACTAGGCATTGTATGAATGATGGATCATCGGTTCGATTTTAGATTCATGTTTTTCCAAACTGGAAGTCTACTGTTACAGTGGGATGATGCTAGGGATCTTCACAGAGGATATTTCCTCACGCCTCAGGGGTCGGACTTCTTACACGTGCACAGGTAGACCACGGTAAGAGGGATAAAACGAGATGTGGACGAGATTTCCAATTTCATTACATCTTGTGCATAGGTCAGTGCCCAGTACGCCAATCCGATTTAGATGCTCTGGGTAACATGCGTGTCCAAATCTGATCCTGATCAGTGTCGGTTTTTCTGTTGTATTTGTAATTACTAAACCAGGTGGATCTAGGGATTTCGGATTGTATTAATATATTTCTATTTATTTTTGAGTTTTTATATTTCTCCCATATTGTTTCCCAATCAGTTCTCGTCTGTTTTTTTTGCAAATGAATATATTCATCTATGGGGAGAAGGTGGTCCAAGATTTCTCCAGAGCTTTCCTTTTCCAATCTATCAACCCTCTCATTAAGCTTAATTCCGACATGGGTTTTTACCCATACCAACTTTATTTTGTAGTTTTTGGCATTTAGTTTATGAAGGAACTGCTTTATTTTCAAGATGTATGGGTTAATATAAGGGTTATTTATGTCGACTGGATTAGCTATACTTTGCAAGACTGACAAACTGTCTGATATTATAATCCCTTTGATAATTACCTTGGAATCTAAGTATTCCAAGGCTTTGAGAATAGCAATGGCTTCAGCTGTGAATATAGACGTAAGACTGTTTAATTTGAGTTTTGATGAATGTCTCTGTACAATAAAGGCACAACCTCTTCCTTTGCTGTCCTTAGAAGCGTCAGTATAGATGTTAACGTATTCTTGATACGGATTCAACAGTTCTCTAAGACAGTCTTCGGCAGAGGGAATGTAGTTTGGTAAAATTAAGTTGTGTTTCTCAAGGGAGATGAAACATTCTTGAGAATTCCGGGATGATTGGAATTAAGAGTCTATCTCTAGTCTGGAATTCCTAAATGCTTCACAAAGGGGGGGTCATTGTTTTTTCTGCCAATATTTATTGGTGAGGTCGTGAAAGTTTAACGTGCTTATTTTTTTATTATATGGTCTTGCTTTACTTCTGACTTGATAAGTTGTTTTTTTTGACAATAATTGTCTCCTTAGCTGAAGAGGTGGTTCAAGGCATTCTACTCTAAGGGGTTCAATTGGAGTTGACCTCATTGCGCCCAGACAAAGTCTTAATGTACTGTTTTGTAGTGTATCCAATTTTTGTAAGGCTTTGTGACTAGCAGACACATACAACTTGCATCCATAATCGATGATCGATCTAATGTATGAGCGATAGAATGTTAACGCTGCATCAGGATCTGCTCCCCACCACGTACGTCGAATCATCATCAGGAAATTAAGACCTTTTTGACACTTCGTAACTATTTTGTCAATGTCAAAGGGTACCATGTTAGTTTTTGGTCAAGAACCACTCCAAGGTACTCCACTGTTTCTGTTACTGGAAACCGAGAGCCCACAACTTCTATATCACCTGTTGGAGGAATGTTGTGTCGTGAGAAGGATACTATGGATGATTTGTGTGGTGATTGGCTGAATTCCAATGTGTTCATACCAAAGTTATAGCGCTTGATAGAGATTCCTTGCATGATTGGAATCCTGTTTTATCTAGGTAAACGACAAAGTCATCAGCATACTGTACGAGATTGTATGTTGGGTTCACTATGTGGATATCCCTATTATACTTATATGTTAAACAGGACTGGTGATAGAACTGAACCCTGAGGAAGGCCTACTAATACTTCTCTAGGGCCCAGTAGTGAGTTGGTTTTGGATCTGAGAAACATTGTTCTCTTTAGGAACAGCTTTATGACAGTCCGACAAGTATTACTTGGAACAAGAGTATCTTCTAACTTGTCTTTTAGCATGAACAGATCGACGCCGTCATATGCTCCTTTGACGTCTAAAAATGCAGCTCCCAGGTATTCATTCCTTGAGAAGCAGTTTTGGATATCTGTGACTACATTCCCTACAGCATCTATGGTACCATATCTTTTTTTGAAACCAAATTGTGACTTCGGGAATACCTAAATTTCTTGCGTAGAGAAACCATTCTAGTCTGTGCTTTATAATTTTTCAAGGGTCTTAAGGATGCACGATAATAAGGATATTGGTCATTATTCACATAAATTTGGATCTTTGCCCAGTTTGAGCACGGCCACAACAATTATTTTTCGCCAGTCTTCAATGTCTTCGTTTACTAACCATACCTCATTGTACAGTTCTATGACAGTAATGGGATGACTGAAAATATTGTTAGTCAGGGTTCAGGATTTTGACTACGGTGAATCTCTGAAAAGACTTGTGTGGTCGAAGGTGGAGCGATTTTGTCTAGGAAATTTGCTTCCCAATCCAAGTTATTGCATTTCCCGACTTGCATTCGCTGCATTTTCTTAGCCTGAGACCAAACCAAAGCTCGGTTCTTGGGGTGTTTTTATTCAAATTGCAACAGCATTTTCTCCAATGCGCTTTTGCTTTGCTTTTTAACAGTCTTTTTGTGTATGCTATTGCTCTCTTACAAGCAATCTAGTTGGCTTCGCAACATGGGTTTTCCATTCAATAATGTTAGCTAGGTCCGGGGAAGAAAAGGTTAAATCTACAACTGAATTTAGAGCATTGTTATGCAATCTAGTAGATGACCCATCATTCATCAATACTAAGTCTATTGAGTTTAGTGATTCCACAAGTGAGAACCCATTACGGTCCTGCTTGTAGGTGCCCCCACAAACTATGGTGGGCATTGAAATCGCTCCCTACAATTGCATACTGTCCGAAACAAGATAGCAAATCAATCTATTCATTCGTGCGGATATGTGCACTAGGAGGGACATACATAGATAGAAGATCTCTGCACCGCATACTTGCACGTCATTAGGGCGAGGTCTACATGTTATTTTTTTAAATTTCAGAGTGTTTCGAACAAATATCGCAACTCCGGTCTTTCCGTCATGTCTGTCACTCCTGATAATTAGAGTATCCTTTGAATATCACATTAACACCTGGTTTAAATCAGGTTTCAGAAATCAGGACAATATCTATGTTGTTATTGTACAAAAATTGATCAAAGCTGAGTTTGTTTGCAACTGCAGATCTAGCATTCCACTGTATGATTTTTAATTTAGTATTCATCTTGGTCACTGGGCTCATTTGGAGGATAGCTATCTTTATAGATATTCTTCACATAAGTAATATCAATATTAGCCAATTTCTCAAATGATTTTACTTTACGTAGTATAAGTTGTAATGTTTTGGATAGCGCCTCCAGAAACCTCTCATCAGGGATTTCTGTCGTGTCTGATTCTCTAAGGGGTAGGGGGTTACTGGGGCCAAATGAAAAAGGGAACATGGGGGGAATGTGGGAATCATTAATAGGAGATACAACTTTTCGTTTTTTGTTTAGCTTTTCTTGCTGAGATAGGGGTCTAGCTATTCGCCGCGTGACTGTATGAAAAGTATTTGCTGATTGCCACAGTGAGGTGTTTGCTGATCGGCTGTGTGAGGGTTCTTTTGGAGCGAGAGGAGGAAATTCTGTATTGGGCATTTGGCCTAACATTTCAAAACGATTTTTTGAATGTAATATGAAGGAATATGTAAGGTACCCGGGGGTAATAAGGCCCACCTAAGAAATTATAATTAATATCTACGAGAGAAATTTACTTTTTCAAACTTTTATTATTATAAAAAATAGAAAAGGTAATGTTTGAACACAAAATAATCATGCTTATACATACATTTGTCGAGACGCGAACAACAACAACAACAAATTGTCTTCTGGGCCTTAAAGCCTGCAAGTGCATATAATAAGGGCCATATTTAAATGAACAAAAAACAAGTCAAACGAATAAACAAAACACAAAAAAAATCAAAAACTAAAAAGAAAATATTAAAATAATGATATCCAAACATGAATATCAAAAATATCCCTTTGGGCCTTAATATCTGCAACGACTTATAATGAGATTTGAATGAGAGATAAAAAAAATAACAGTTCAACAAAATACTGATAGAATAAAAAATAAATGTAACACACTAAAAAAACAGTATCAAAGATAAAATATGGTATTAAGTATAAATCTAATACTTAAGGCATACAGTCTGGACACAAAAAATTTTCAGTATCGTCTGCAGTCAAACCAGCACAATCCTCATGGACCCAAAAACCACAAGAAGCACCATCGTCTCATATCTGCTACATAGTCTTCGTAGCAAATCACACAGTGCCATTCTTCGTTATGTTCTTTTGTTTTTGATGCAATGGAAGACACAGATTCAGATGGCGATTTAGCGGTATTCGATAAGACTGGAACGGGATCAAGTTGAGACTCCACCTCCTTTAAAAATACGGATCGCTTGACTTCAACTGCTTTGTAATTTATAGCTTTACGTCGTGGAGCAGATTTTTTTTGACTAGATCTGGTGTTGGTAACACTTCCGCGAAGGAATTATTCAAAGGGATTAGTTTTTTACGCAATTCACATAAAGGCAGGTAGTCATCTGAATCATATTCCGAATCATCGGCAGCGGCGGTCGTCTCCTGGTAAGGTTTCTCAGTTGCAAGACTTGGGGCAAATGCTTCAATGGGAAGAACATTCTTATCATAAGGGCATATTCCCGTAGCTCGAAAGTCGCTTGTAATATTTCCAATGGGCATTGCTTTCTGCCATGTAGGTGTGAAAACTTCAGAAAATCTTTCCCTGTTTAAATCACGTGTAGGATGTTTATCCCAGTACTTTAACAATTCGTCGTCCCAATAAGCTTCAAATGCTCGAAATATAGCTTTGTCCAGCGGCTGAAGCTCATGGGTGGTGTTACTCGGCAGACAATATAAGTGAATCTCATGAGCTTCTGCTTTCTCAGCAATGCTAGTATCCAAATGGCATTTGGCCCCATCAAAAATTAAAATTACTGGCGGAGGCGACATGTATTCAATGAAATGGTCTAACCACTTATCAAACGTTTTTATCGTCATGCTTCCTTTAGGCGTCATCATAACTTTTGTGCTAGCCGGTAAGCCATCTGAGTAGGTTGGCTTCATTCTCTTGCCCTTAAAAAGAATGACAGGCGGTATGGCATGTACCGAGAGCATTAGCGCAAGCGACGATAGTTGCATTTTCGGCGTGTTCATGAGAAATTACATGCACTCGTTTTGCTCCTTTGGCTGCCAGAACGTTTTGTTGGTGGTGAAGAGTCAAGCGGCAACCTTCTCGTCCATATTATAAATTTTTGCTTCTTTATTTTTTAACTGAGTGCGCTCCAACAAATCTCCTAGTTTTTTGAAATGATCTTCTACGATAAAACGATTTAATTTTTGGGCTCTTGCTGGATTCATGAATTGAGATCGACGTTTTGATATTCTCGGATGATTTCTGAGTCCTTACCCACTCCCTACCAGCGAGACGAGTTTGCTGATTGAAACAATGCTTAATTTTCTTTTGCTCAACATACCTGTACACAGACCTTCTTAATGCTTTTGGTGTTAGCGGAAAACCTTTATCGGCTAGCCGAATTATTTTATTCTCAAGGTCAGTCTCTTCATTATCGGTCAAAATCGTTTGTCTACCTGGTTTTCTCTTCACGCTTTGTGATTTAATGTGGTTCCTAAGTGTTCGTCTGGGTATTCCGCATTTTCGTTCCACCCAGCGCTGAGGTTTTCCCTGGTTAATATAATTTAATGCCTCTCTCATCATCTCTTCATCCCAATTTGCCCTTATCCCTCTGCTTTTTTTACCCATCTTCTGTAAAAGAATAAATAAATCTAATGAATACGTGTATTCATGGCGGCAGAAAATAAAGCCCAAGCCTTTTTCAATGCATTGTAGAAAATAAGGCCCGGGCCTTATAACCTGTAGCACAATAAAATTAATTTTGAGGTTATTAAACAACAAACAAACCCAACATAAAAAGAAACGCTACGTAAAATGAAACTATCAGATACATAGATTATCATGCATACATAATGAAAAATCTACGTATTATTAAAACAATTTAATTTGCTTACTTACCGGTCGAAATTCTTATAAAATACAGCACAGCGAAACGTGACACCATAGAACAAGCCAGAAGCTTATAACCATAGAACAAAATTACATTTCCGGCAACCGTAATACTAAATATTATTAACAGGTAGCGATATAAATATTTTAGGCGCTTTCCTTTGGGCAAACCAGCGTTGGGCCTTAATATCTGGTGGGCCTTATTACCCCCGGGTACCTTACATTACATGACTAGTTGTAGAGTTAAAAGCTAATGAATGTGCAAAAAGCTTTGACAGTCCGCCAGTCCGCCACTTTGAAAACTAGTAAATAGGTGTATATACTTCAGGGCTAGAAAGTATTTATAGGGAGCTTCCAAATGAGGTATCAGATGGTAATATAATTCTATTTAAAACAATTTTCAACTGCTACACTTAAGGTGAAATAAAGGATCAATACAGTTTATCACTCCTAATTTCAGCTTGATAATTTGACCCATTTAAAAAATAAGTAGGTCCCTCCGACCTTTGTTACATATTATCTGTAAGCGATTTCGTCAAACATTGTGCATAAAATCTGGTGGGCCTTATTACCCTCGGGTACCTTATTACCGAGTTTACTTTTAGCCTCCAGGAGCGTCAGATTTTGTTCGGCCATGATTTTTTTAATTTTTTCCTGTTCCATATAAGATGGACAATTTTTGGATGTTGACTTGTGATCGTTGTTCTTACAATAAACACAACAGCTATAATGGGGATCCCTGCAATTGTGCTCCGGATCCTTTATTTTGCCGCAATTATTGCATAGGACCGATGAACTTCTGCATTGTTTTGCAACATGCCCATATCTCAAACACTTGTAACATTGGACCACTCTGTATATAAACGGTTCTACTTCGCAAATGACACTGTTTAAAGAAATGTAGGAGGGTAAAATGTTGCCTTCAAAGGTCACTATAACAGATTGCTTGGGAACATAGGCGGCCTGCCGATCAATTTCTACCTTACGTTTTAATCTTTTTACCTCAGTGATAGTTATAGGAGACAAAAACTTCTCAAATAAATATGTTTCGTCAAAACTAGTATCAACATTCTTTATCACTGCTTTCCTAAATAGTAAATTACTGGGGATAAATGCTCTTAAATTTTCATTTATTAGTGACTGGTTAGTAACTAGACGATTCGCGTCCTTCAAACTTTTTAGCTGAACCTTGATTATATTTCCACCTACTTTTTCGATCTTGACAATGATGATGTTGAGTTTTTTATGTAGTATGTGGCCTACAGCCATTGGGTGTAGCGTACCAATATTTTCAGTATTTATTTTCTCAACAAATACATAACTCGAATCTGAATATTGCTTAGGTTTTTGCAAATTAAAAACAGTGCACTTATCTGGCGTAGTGTCGGTTGCGATGCTTGTATCAGGATAACTCCTTTACGGTTGTCTACTCCACTGTTGCTGCCTCCTCCTATGGGGGAGATGTCCATATCAGTTGATCCCCATCAGGGGGATCGTTATTCCTGGGCATTACACGCCAAACTGTCTAATGGTTATTATCTCCAGTTGCACAAACGGTTGAGGAAAAAAGGAAGGAATTTTTCCTATATGTATTTATATGTATAACACAACTCGGTACAGAGCGCTCCGTACGATCGTTCGTCAATGCAGTTTTCAAGTTGATCCTTACCCTATTTGGATTTAGTGTTTACTTCATTTTTACATAACTAATAACAAAGAAATATAAAATTTAGGTAACATTTATATATCTGTGTTACGGATCTTACGAACCCGTTCATTCTATTTCAAGTACGACAACCATTTTGATTGAAACTAGTAACTTAATTAAAAATTAAAATAAAACAATTAGAGTAAAATCGGGTAATTTGTACCACCTAACATATATTATGAAATAACTCCTTAGTGACTTGTTTGAATTGAACAAAACTTCAAAGAAACATAATTTGACATGTTTCTGTTAAAATTCACAACTTAAGACTGATGTGAATACTTAGGGATTAGAATGATAAGCTTTTAAAAAAAGGTTGCAAACGGTACAATTTATTGAACCGGTTCGTTAAGTTGTATCACGCGGTTTTTAAATTGTACCATGACAAAGTGCATAAGATTTTCGTTTTTAGTAGAACAAGGTGAAATAAAATATGACAAACAAAATAACTCAACTATAGGTTCAAATGAAAACTTTCATTTATTGAACTCAAACATTTTGAACACATTGATAAAACAGGAAATTATTGAGAATATTTGTTTAAGCATTGTCAAAATTTTCCCGTTTTGTATAGTTTTATTGCAAATTTCATGCTTTCCTCCATTTTCCATATTTTGAACCCTTGCGAAGCATGACTGAAAAATAATACACGAGTTTGTTAAATTGTACCGGTACGATTTTAGCAAACCAGCGGGAGGTACAAATTACCGTACTGATATGATTGACACAAATTGTTTTATTTCTTTTTAAAAACTGTGGTTAGATTAAATTTTGCCCGCTAGAGATCTCATAAAATAATAATCAATAATTACGAGAAATGCCACCCCAACTGATAGAAAGTGAGTATTTAGACATAAAGGCTTATCTAAGATTATATAATACTGCCTAAAACAGTTTTCCACTAATCAACAAATATAAAGATTCACGACCGGCAGTTGGTTGTGTTTGTTTATCAGACACGTTTTGGCGCCAAGGGGCATCAAACAAGTTTAATAAATGGCGTTAGAAATCTGTAGTTCAGGAAATATTGAGGTCGTACAATAGACCGGTACAAATTAAATAACGTGTTACAAATAAAATTTGTAAATACATCAGATATCACAAAATAAGTTATAACCTTGGGAGGTCACCCTACTCTGCTTTATTTGACGTGTAGATAACCTAAAAATGAATAAACATTACGATGAGTTTTACATACGTAGAATAATATATATAGCAGTTCAATAGACAAACACAATATTTTCGCTCCGACGTGATTTTGACTTCCAATAAGTGAATGATAATCTAATTTAAGAGTGAATTACTAACTTGTGAAACACGTTCTGAACTCCACGGCTTTTTGACTGTTTGACCTGTACTTGTGTGACCCGCATAGTAACCTATGTCCGAAAAGTTTTGGCACAAAATATTTATCGGTTTTTTTTAACGAAGAAATTTATTTAAACACTAGCTGGTTATCGTAAATTACTACTCAATATACTTACTTAACTAAGCTATACTATCGAATTATGTGGGGTGGCCCTTTCTGCTCTACCAGACGCAACTTTCTTTGAATGTCTCTCATGAGGCCCTGGACGGAATTCAGATCAATTTCTCACAGTTTTTCGTAAATTCGCAGTCTTAATTGTTCTTCATCTTGGGCTTACCAGCCTCCATGATAAACCTTTCTAGACGGTAATGCCAAAAACCCTCTATTGTGCGAGTATGCGGCAAGTTTGGAGGATTATCGTTTTTGAGAACAAAAATTATGTTGTGTTGTCGAAGTCAGTATCTCTAGAGTAATGACATGATGCTAGGTGTAGCCAAAACATGATATGGTCATTAGCATGATGTTCGTGGACAAACTGCCGCAATTTGAAAAGGCAGTTGTCAATATAGCTCTGACTATTCAAAGGTTCACCCCCCACTCTTCCCACAAAAGGTTGGCATACGCCCCAAATTGCGTGCCAGTACAAGGATTTTATCTGCAAATTTCGCTTTATGTTTGTTTCTAACATTGTCAGGGCATTCCTCTACGTTGGCCGTACGAAATCCGTCGTTTCGCTCCATTTCAGAATTATTAAAAGTGACATACTTTTCGTCATCTAAAATAATGATTTTTCCACTGGCAAAGTGTACCCGCCTCAGTCGATGACAGCATCTTGGTATACGAAGGAGTTGCACTTGGTAGTTTTTGAGGCACTTGAGTCTCTTTCGATATTCAAGACCGTTCCTCCACAATTTCAACGATATCGTACTCTTAGAAAATCTGTATTGACGAGCCAGTCTCCTTGTTGACATTCTAACCTAATTTTTTGCTCTTCTCACCAATCTCTCTGATCTCTGTGCTGTAAATGCACGTGGTCTTCCACTTCGCTATTGTTCGATGAATGGTTCTGCGTGAAATGTTTTCATTCTGGAATATTCGACAGATTTCAGCTTTGGGTACTCGCCCAACCAACTTGTAGATACTTTTTCTTATTTCTAATTTATATGTATAAGTAAACAAACTTTTGTTTCTTTGCGACCATTTCATGAAATGGTTAACTCTACGATATGGCCACGACATATGTACATCTTGGTCAATGTCAATAAGATAATCTAAAATGACGGCGGTGGCCTGCGCACCATTGCTTTATCAATTCAAGTATCTCACGCTGGGGGAGAGAGGACTGATGCAGCCGTCACCACCCCCATCCCGTACTTAAATCACCGAATCCCCAGCTCGCAGAAGCACTGATACAACCGCCGTCGCCCGCCTCACTCTTCAATTCACCCAGAATTTTTTTCTGGGTCCGCCTCTAAGCCCCGTTTTATAATTTTCCACATGTCAGGTCCGCGCTGTCCGCTGTTCAGGACTGTCATGGCAGGCTCATTGGTAAAAAAATCAACAAAAAATCCGATACATTCGACGCTACGTTTCATGAAATCTCACCACTCGGAAAATTTTGTATATTTGAACACTCACGTACCTACACATCGGCTAGTTATGTTTTCTATTTTCCTAACGGCAGAGATTGATCTAGAAAACATTTTTTGGGGTCTATATAATGGATTCGAAATTACCCTCTCAAAAAGTGCCAGCGCTCTGGATACCAGTTCAGGAAGATATCCGCCTCGAATATTCCAGGGGGGTCCGTACCCCCAGGACAACTCCCCTGGATCGTAGCCGTCAGCTCTCAGTCCACCATGTCCACCACCTTTTTGTTTATTGATGCCTTTTATTGAAAGGGAATCATTCCCCCTCTTTCTGTGTCTATGTCTCTCTCCATTTATAATTTCAGACGTGCTGCTTATGCTTACTTCCTTCTCCGGCTCTTTTTCTCGCTCATCGACACTCGGTATAATTTCAACGTAATACTATAAGTTTGATGGTTTGCACGTAATTGCAACCAGAACACAAAAACTTGTTTAAAAAATTCGTGAAATAAAAAAACGTTGTCGACAGTCCGCTCAAATTAAGCGTCGATAGAGTTATACTATTAATTTGTTGATGAGACAGATTGCCGCACGTTTTTCAGTTACTCAAGAGACATCCTACCCAAAAGATGTCTGGCAACAAATTGACAGTATGGATTTCAGATACTCGTATTTGTTTTAAATAATTCAGTAGGGTTGTGATTGCATCAATTCTACATTCATCCCTTCTGGATTCAAATATTTTACTTCCCTGGCGGGGGATTATTGTAATCACAAAATTTTTCTAAAATGAAATATTATGTTATTTGGATGATATATGTACATGACGAAAGACCAAGTCACTCATTTCCGTCGGTCTGTCTGTCTGTTGGTCTGTCCTCTAATCCTATAACTGCCTATAACTTGAGAAGTGCCGCTCGAATTTCGATGAAATTTCCATACACAATGTTACTCCTATTACAAGGACACAAAAGCTTTAGAGTTTTTGAAAATTGGTCCAGTGGCGGCAGAGAGAAAGGCCAAAAACGAAAAAGAATAAAAATCACTCAGACTTTGTTGTTCGACGGTTCAGAAGATCCTAATCATTTTTGAGCCCCAAAGCTCCTGCCTGAATGCGCTCTTGATTATGCAAGTATCGAATAGAAACATTGTTTGTTATTGTAACCAAATGTAAGGTAAAGAAGTGTGATAGTTACCCGCAGATCCTTATCTTCTTTTCTTAATCAGTTCTAAGAAGTGTGAAATTATCTGACCATAGGTATATGCGTGATACGATTATTTGAGAAACGGTTGCAAATAATTTTTTAAATTTGCCTTTCCTTCCTTTGCGCTCTATTGGAAGTCCAGTGACCCCCTAATGTTTGGATATTTAGCATGGTTCAGTGTCCAGTACCTAGAGTTCTTAAGGTTTGCCCATTTGAGAATACTTTTGGGGCCGATATATTGACACAATTTACGAAAAGTTTATTATGGCGCACTGGCAGCGACGGACGTAGTGATGAGGAGGGGCGAGCGAATTTTCCCCAGGAACCTTTCGAGTTATAAATATTGCCCCACCTTCCTGTTTGGCGTTTTAAATACGCAAGTACCTCTCTCGTTCTTCAATTTTCTATCGGCGGCAGAATGTAGAAAAAATTAACATATTTGGTGAAACTTGGTAAAATGTCAGAAAAATTTCATATGTGGTTTGGTTGTGATCATTGATATCCTTTTCAGTCTCTAGGGAATTAATTCTCCAAGCAAGGGAATATAATAACCCTGCTAGAAAATTCGCTCTCAGAGTCATTCCCGGAAGTATCGCCGTTATCCATCAGTCTTTGAAAAACCTTAATTTTGTGATGAAGCGTTAAATGGTTAAATTGGGATCATTCCCCAGGGAACAGAACCTTGCTCACCTTCTGTCAGTAATTCTACTAACTTGTTTTTAAGAACACTAGGCCGTATGAGGTTTCGGGGGCTCATACATACAAGATTTGCGAAATCGGCTTCCCTAGGAAAATCAATCGGTTCATATTAGCTATTACGAATGCAACTATGTCTAGGTAGAGATCACCCCATTATTTGTGTGCACATTGAGTAAGGGATTCTACCCGAAGATAGCCAATCATTTCGGCATCCAAAAAGGGATAAAGATACAATGTCATCTATTAGCAGAACACAAAAGTTAATTTCGAAATCCGCTCTGAAAAAAGAGTGTTTGGTTCTTCTACTGTTTCATAGATGGCGCTAGGATCTTCAATCCTTTTTGGACGCCGGACACTGGTAGTGGTATTTTAAGAACTTTGTTTTAAACATTGTAATAATACAAAAATGTCACAAGGTGTATGATGAAAGTATCTGATTCATTGTTATTACAAGTAAAAATACGTTAATTATTATTATTGATCTACAGGTATGGATATCACCAACAAACGTCTCCCGCCCCATACTCTGTGCAAGATGAACAGCAGATGTGGCATCACCCAGCGGCTGCCCATTCCGCGGTCCCAGTGTTTCAACATGAATTCACGGTAAGTAACAACATTTGCACCAACAATACAAATACGAGTAGTAATGTCACAGCATATAAACCGTGAGTTTTTAGTGTATACTTGGCCGATAGTTGCACTATTTTAAAAGTTATCCACAAATGTTTTAGGCAACTATACTCTCCTTACTTGTAAAATATGTCCTTCTCTAAAGAGCTATTCATAACTCGCAACACAAACATACCGTTTTTAAATGGTATGCACTGTATATTTTAGTGTACCATTAGACCTCTTCAAAGAAGGAAGTGCTATAACTACCTCAGAAGTTATGGGATATTTTGTCCGAAACACCAATGAACTTTGACAGCTTGTAAGTCACTCATTTTTGCAGATAGATTAACAACTTTTCGTCTTACTGCGTCACATCCCATACTTTCTCGTATTTAAAAATTTTACTTATCACGCTACACTGGCGTAGAAGTATTGTAATCGCAAAACACTTTGAAAATAGGATGTTGTTTTTTGGATGTTATATATGTACATACCGAATTTATTTAGTTGTAAAAACAATTAAGATAATCAATAAAAAAAAGTAAGCCTAGTCTTGGACTTGAACCTCGGGCGCCCACGCGGTGCGCATATGCACACCTCTACATACTGATTAAGAAGATGAGCAAACTATCGGCCGATAGAAAGTCTGCAGTCAGCGGGGGCCCTAAAGGAGTACAATTATCATAGGCAAAGTCTCGTCTCAAAATATGAGTAAATTCCCAAGGCTATGCCTACCCATTATAATATTTGCAAATAAATAATTTTCTCAACAAGGTTCTTGACCTTAGGTATTGACCTCACTACGGCCGTCTCCAAGATTTAGGAATTTATCTAGACAGATAGTGATAATAGAGGTCAAGTAAGGTAGTATAATAGTAGTATATAGTATAACGTCAATTAATACCATTTGCATCAGACTTAAGCCACTGTACAACAATTCTGCTAGTGCTAGGCTCAACCAGAATGACGGAAAATCTTTAATTGCCGAATTATATATTAGACTTAGAGTGACCGATATTCATGTTACCTGGAGCCCGTCAAAGTTCGTTCAACATATAATGCTTTTGCAAGAAAGTCAGGTATCCTGATTTTACGCGCCTGATAGACGCAAGAGCAAAATTACGTTTTTCTATGTAGCTTAACCAGTCTGATTCTATGTTTCCGGATTTATATTTTTTAAGCGCAACATCACGTTCAGACAGTATGGTATTTAAAGGAAATGTCAATCAAGACGCGTGCCGTTTATTGAATCTCACTGTTCTGACCGGCGTGTAAATATCAAATACGTTAACAATGTTCCTTTTAAGGAAACTATCCGTTTCATCACTGTAATTCAATAGTATCAAGTTATTCCAAGCAAGTGAGCGTGAAGCACCATAGAATCTATTCTTACCGAAACTTCAAAAATCCCCGAAAGTGACGAATATTTGCTTAGTTTTTTTAACAGCAATCTCAAGCAAGCAATATATAAGTCGATGGTCAGAAATTTCTCCATCATCGAAAACCATTATGCTTGAGAAAAGTTCTTTAGTATTTCAAAAAGCTGCCTCTGTCAGAGTTGTCGAAGTAACTATGGTACGAGTCCGATCTTTAACCGTTTGATTAAAACCAAAACACGAAAAGCATTTGTTAAGACTGTTGTCGGCATTTGATAAATCGGTGTTCATGTCACCTAATACCAAAACGTCATACCTACAGATATCCAAATGCAGGATGAAATCCCCTACATAACAAAATCGCCAAAAGACTTAGATGAAGTCTGTACATAACACCAATCCAAAACATTCTTTATGAAGCAACACCTCCAATCAGATCCTTTACGTGTCTGTGCAAGTAATAATACCAAATACCAAGAACTCTCACCTTATACATAGACTTAATATAAATGCCAACGCCTCCATCCTTTTCTATTCTGCGATTAAAATTTTACTCTGGAACGTTTTCCTCAATTTTACCTAACCCATTGCACTTAAAGTAACGAAAAGCTCAGAAGATTACTGACAGTGCACTTGCTCCAGCCAACATATAGAAACTCACTAGAGAGCAGAGTATACTTAACACTGAAGATACTTGCTGAATCAAATTGTTGAGTCATGGACTTTCAACTGGGTAATGTTCATGTCAATGCCATCGAGTAAAAATTTAGAATATGAGATGTTATGTTTTTTGGATGTTATATGACATGTTAATGTCTCACTCATTTCCGTCGGTCTGTCTGCCTTGTCCGCTAATCCTAACCCCGCTATAACTTGGGAGCAACTTCAACCTTTTGCTCGCTGTGGTCCCGCAACTCTAGTGGGTGCTGATCCTTGGGTCATTTTTACCAAAGAACATCTCCCTATCTCAATTCTCGTGACTGGGGAGTTAATCCTTCTTTAGACATTGCAACTCCCGGGCAGGTACAATAGCTTGCCCTCGGTTCTCCCCAATTTCATTACCCCCTTCAGGGGGTATACTTTTTCATCAGGGCTCCAATGCCATCGGTAAATATAGATAGCCAATCCGCTAACTTCATCATCTTGGCGGATCGTCCATCCAAGGTTACTTCATGCGGTGGGATACCGAGGTCAAACAGAGTGCAATGCTCAGCTTCTACAGTTGGTAAATTGCCCTCCGATGGCGCCCAAGACTCATTATGGGGGTTCGTCATCCCCAACCACATCACCCAAGCTAACTAACTACTGTTCTTGTGGTCGGCAGTTCACTACCACCAAAGCCTGCATAAGTGCAGCTTTTGTGATAGGAAGTTCCAGCCACATCCTGGCACAGGGCTGCACACCAAGAAAGCCCATCCTATCGAGTACAACATGGAGTTGATAGAAAGTGCACCGCATTCCGAAGGCAGACGTTCTTACCAGACTTGCCATCATCGAAGCCAATCTGCTGCCGGACCAGAAGTACTTCTTGCAAGATGTGGTCGCGGCAACAGGCTCATCTACAAGGAGTACCTTGCCCTTGTGAAAGAAGAGGCTCGCAGCCGGCAAGAAGCTGGATTTGCCGCCACGCAACAAGCTAGTTCTTTAGCCAACTATGGAAATATGGCACAAGAGGTTCAGCCCTAAGCGAGCCATTTAGAGTGGGCTAAGGAAGTTTCGAGCCACTCGGCAAAAGGGAGACCGTTCCCCGACATCCTGCCGGGGTGAAAGATGTTGCACCACTACGGCAGAATCAAGCCAACGCCTGTAGTGGGTCTTTGCGAATCGTGACACCTCTCCTCGACGAGTAACTCTAGGAAACTTCCCAAAGACGTATCACCACCAATGAAACAGAGTTACCTGTACATTCAACTTTAATGTTGTACAAACGTCTCTAGAGGCTAGACGGGAACTACCGGTAGGTCGGTGAAAAAATGTCTATGTACAATTGTATCGCCTGTTTGACCAATTTGATCTGTTTAATGCTTCTATTGTAGTTGTTTGTAACTAACTTGTTTCTCTTCTGTTATATTTAATCCCTCATGAACTAACTGATGACGGCGTTGCGTATAAAGTGCAGATTCAACCCTCTTCACGCCATCATTTCGAATAACATTACGAAAAAGTGATCTGGGATTCAATAATTTAGTCCTACCCAGTTCCTGGGTTGCATGCACCACCAGCTTATCCATAGAAGCACCCTATTTACAGTGAATTATAACATCATTTTTGATTTTCTTTACTCAATCCAGTCTGAATTTAAGGTCACTTGGATTCACGTTGGTTTGAATATCCTTAATTCCATCATTTGAGAAAGATACATTTTCTGATTCGATCATCACGCCAGCTGTTTGTTGCTGTTACTTTTTTCCTACAGGTATGAAAAACCATTGCCACTTTTTGTACCACCTTGACATGTTGTTGCTGTGACTGTAGCATAGGAAAAATTTATAGATGAAATGTTTTTTTGAGTAAATCGTTAGTAGATTTCAGTTTTGAAATCAGGTTATTCATCAGATCAATTTTGCGCGTTCAGCTCCTGCACTTACAACTTACGCTCAATAACAAACAATTTCGCTGCATACATTTGGAATACATCAAGACACTACAAGTCTCACTATCACATTTAATACACATTTTACGAATACTTGTACCTTATTTGTCACACATCTTGTCTCCGTGAGACGAAGCGTTGTCCGTTTAGTCCGCCATCACAACTGTCTTCACTATTTCATTATTTCGAGGTCATTTTTGGCAAAGTGCACTCATTTGAAGGTGATGATCTTATTAGGGTACGTTTCCATTTAAACAAATTGCAGACACATGTAGAGGAAAACCGGGACACTGGACCCGTTTTGCACACAAGACCACATGGCTTCATGTGGAATGAATGTATTGCCATGACTAAAATTGGATAGTAAAGCGCAGTTAGTAAGATATACTTTACTTGAAGACTTATGAGGATATGTTGCACAGTTTCCGCGTAGTTGACATGGACATGACATTTGGCTAATGTCTCCAGAGTGGACTGAGAGATATTACCTCAAGTGTAGGGAGTTTTTATCCTGAGTTGTTTTGAGTGATAAGTAATCAAAGATCGTTATAATTAACATGATTTATGTGAAAATAGAAGAAGATTTTTTTTTTGCAATATAAAACATTCTTCAACTCCAATGGAGTATCTTTGCGCCAGGTCTGTTTCAACATAACGATGGAACACTTCTCAAGTTCAAATGCTTCAGTTGCTTTCCAAATATTTTCTTTGTACGGATGCAGCAGTTGTGCCACGCGAACAAGGAAAATTACGGTAATAGATGGTTTTACAATATACTGCACCCAATCCCAGGGAAAAATTTGAATCTGAGGAAAACTATCAGCTGCTATCCTGCTCGTGCACATCCAACCACTTAAAGCATGTATATATATATCTAAACCACCAAAATGAATTGTATCAAAGTCACTTATTATGTTGTTTTTTTTTCCGTTTATTATACTCGTACATGTAATCTTTGTTTGTCTCACCAGCTGATTGTAGTTAGTGGGATAAACGTTATTATTATTATTATATTATTAAACAAACCTTGAAAGGCGAACAAGACGTGATTAACCAAATTTAACATTAAAAAGAAATCGAACATCAACAGATATCTCAATAACTATCCTCTTCAAAGAAGGACAACCTGTCATCAATACCCAATGAGTGCCCTAAATAATCAGTTCAATGAGAAAATTACCAGCTACGCAGAGGAAGTGGGCAATCTTGATAATAAAATTGAAAAATTAACGGAAATTAGTAAGACTGTAGTCAGTGCAATCAACATCCTAGAGGGAGGAAACAATGCTCTTCAATTGGCACTGAAACAAATTGGCAAACTTGATAGCCATCATAGAAGTTTGATCGATTTTTTTAATTTTTGGCCTTTTTCTCCGCTGTCACTGGGCAGTTTTCAAAAACTATAAAGGTTTTGCTTCGTTGGCATTGTGTAACAATATTATCGAAATCCGAGTGGTACTTCCCAAGTTATAGGCGGATTCACGATTAGGGGACAGACAGATCAACGGAAATTAATGACATGGTTTTTCGTGGTGTACATGTCGTATAACATAAAGAAAACAAATATCTCATTTTCGAAAATTTTCTCGATTACAGTTCTTTCCCGCAAGTGGCGTGGGAACTAAAAATGATTTGTAGCGTTTTGCCGACGTTTAATAAAATGCCGAGGGTGTTTATGAATATCCTGCATTTTCATTATACCTATACCTTTGTAATCTCTGTTCTAGGACTTCATCCACAACACCATTCCTGCGTTGCAACACTCCTCACCACAAGGCGCCACGCAAGCACCCCCGCCCGATTGCGTGGCCGGGCCTATGGAGGCGAGTGCCCCAGGCGGGCAACAGTTATCCTCGCCCCCAGTCACTGTGTCGGGTAGTGAGATGAGCAGCCCGGGCGGCAACAGTGCAGGGACCGCAACGCCGCCCCATCATATGCACCACCATCACATGGGCGGTGCTGGGCACCAGGGTAGGCCCGCCCCTGCGAGGAGTCCCTTCGAGTGGATCAAGAAGACTAGCTACCAGACGCAGCCGAATCCTGGTGAGTTTGTGCATGTGCATGTTGAAATCCCTGCACGTTTAAGAATAGATAATAAAAAGTACAGTCTGCCCCCCAAAACCATGTGCATGTGCTAATATCGTGTAATTATTTGGCGCTTAAAAAGGGGGTGTCTGGAAAAACTTATATACCTGTATACTCGTATACAGTGCAACTCGCTTATAATGGACTCGCCGGGACTGTGACAAATAGTATATTATAGGCGGATGACCATCTTAAAAGGAACACGTTTTTTTGATGAAAAATGCAGTAGACATAACATATTAAAAACTTATACGTAATTTTGGAATTTACATTATTTCAGAATCTGATACACATATTACAGGCATACGTACTGTGTGGGTATGTGTAAAAACCGTAAATTATTTGGTAAAAAAGCTAGTAATTTTCATTTGAACAGATTGTTTTTTTATATAATTATTTAGAACAGCAAGTTGAATTTTATTCAATTTGGTAAGTGTGGCTGTACTGTCTTTTTCTTGCTGAAAATAACGTTAGAACTGCGTGAAAGTCTAATGCCTCCTTAGTTGCCACTGGAAGCTCTTCTTCATAGTTGTTTTCTAGTTCGTTTCCTGTTCGTTATCAACGGATCCTTCATTAACCAAATTGGAGTCTGACAATTCCTGTGTTGCTATTAAATTATTGTCAACATTTACATACTCATCGAATTTGTCTATATTCATTTTCATTAAATCACTTAATGGAATTTCATCTTCTGGATTAAAATACTGACTATTTCAGTCATGTTTTTCACTAAACCAGCATGGCGAGAACAACTGCGAATCGTAACCAATTCCCATGCAATAGTAAGCTATAGCATATAAAATGGTGACAGCTTTGGTAATGTTGACATCTTCTTGAAGGTCCATAATTTTCATCAATATATGTTTCCGATACATTTGTTTAAGACTCCAAATGACACCCTGGTCCATTGGTTGCAGAACTGATGTCACATTGGGTGGAAAAAGTTGAAGGTTGATGTTATTAGGTGAAATATTTGGATGAGCTGGAATATGAATAGACTATATGAATATGACTGATAGATAATACCTATTAAAGATAAATCGCTATATCATAATATAGTGTTCACACATAAGTATATAACAAACGAAAACGTCTAGAGAAAAAGAAAAAAAAGGTTAAAGCTGTGAGCCTATAACACTTCTCAATTCCTGAAAACCACAACAGAAGCCAGCACAAAAACTTCCAATCCTATTCACATTATTGCATGTAAAGTGCTTTAGACACAAGATTGTATGTGCCTTCTTGCAGAAAAAGAAAACTTTATATTTGGATGTCATTCTAGGTACCAGGAAAACAAAATGCGCTAACAAAACATCCAACCATGTTGTTATTTGTTTTTTCACAATCTTGCCAGCTAGAAACAGATGTGGGCTCTAGGTCATCAGCAAACGTAAGCTTGTACATGACAATAAATTGCAAAAATCGTTGACGTATAAGACATAAAGAACTTCCACGTTCTACTTTGAAAATAAGTTAGTTTGACATTTTAAATTGTATGTAGTGTCTTAAAAGAACAATAGTGTTATTAGAACAATCTTCATCTTCTTCCCTTATTGAGTTCCATCGGCAGCTAAGAAATTTTCCACCGTGTACCTGGGTAATCAGACATTTTACGGTTTTTTTATTATTTTTTAATGTACCTTCTAATCGGGAAATATTGCCACGTTTTCTGAATGGTCCCGTATAACAGTACTTTAACGATTGTAAAAGAATTAATATTACAATATGAAATAAATAATGCGATTAAACCAATATACAGAAATGGTTGAATTCACAAAACAGCGTGTTTCCACTAACGTTTATCCAAATAAAGTACAATTATAATTGTAAGATTTCAGCATACGTTTTACGATTTGTGATGACAGCAAAAAGAAAAAATTAAACGTTTGTAGTGGCATTTTCAAAAATTTATCTTTAAATTTGTGAATTATTTCAAAAACGTGCAAGAAATGGGTATTCAGAACCACGTATTTAAAGAATATGCTGGCTATTTTGAGTTTTAAGTATTGGTTGGTATTTTTCGGCCTCATACATTATTTTCACTTGACCTTTTGAACACCGAAACTGTCAAAAAATTGTTCGCGCTACACAAGCTCAAATCAAAATATATTAAATATACAGGGTTTTGGGGAAATAATATTCGTAACTTTAAGAGGTGATTCGTTGCATTATTCTAAGCAAAAAAGTTCATTATAACTTATGTCCGAAAATCAATCGTTTTCGAGGAAAGTGAGTCGTAAATAATTAAATTTTCTCAAACATTTGGCAACGCTGCAACGCAACCGCGATACGAGCGCACGACGTCCGCAACTGATTCATCGAATTGTTTACGTTTGTATGATATTTTTGTTGAAAATATGCCTTGAATTATTGAATACTTTTACGCAATTTTTTGTGGCTAATATTTTTATTTAATAACGCTTTCAGTACATTTACTTAAAAAAATGATAGTACGTGGCGTTACACACCACCAATTCCCACGACTATCAGTCACTTATTTCAAACGATGCGATGCACGAAAAAAGAAAAAAAGCAACATCCGTAAATCACATAAAGTTACAGTTAAATGTATTAGTAATCACAACACGCGATGATACATGCAGTGCAGGCGGAGTACGACGTTGCGAGTTGTGTGAGGGATTTTGTTTGTCTGTTTTTCTTCGGGAAATTTGATTTAATAAGCAAGAAAATTATTTTGTTAGAGACAGTTAATTAATAAATAGATGTATTGATACATTTTACGCTATTAGGTATATGCATTTTAATTATTAAGGTGCAAAATTAATTTATTTCATGACTAAACAGAAATAAGTTCAGCTTTTTTTGCTCCGAAATGGTTGATTTTCGGACATAGGTTATAATGAACTTTTTTGCTCAGAATATTGCAAGCAATCACCTCTTAAAGTTACGAATATTATTTCCCTAACACCCTGTATAGTTTATTGGCACTGCTAATAATTATATCAGCGAGTCAAAAATATATTTTATATTTCGTTAGTTAAATAGAAAGGAAGAACGAGTGGGCGTCCTTAGGATTTTTTTTCAATAGGGCCCATGAGATACCGACAAAAAAGGAAGCTGTTTTCATATTATGATTATGTATCATCCACCATAGGTTTTTGAACAGCGAGGCTAGAACATTTTCTCAGAGGGTGCAAATCTTAAAAAATCGTCCACAAAACTAAATAAGCAAATTTATACGAGGCAGTCAGCTTCTCATGGGAGCGGACGCCGATGAAAGAACGCTTTTTTTAACGCAAACAGGTGACAACAATGACTGCTACCACGTACAAATTGTTCGCCAAAGCTTGATTTGACCAATACGATGAAAATGCAGAAAGCCCCTATCTTTCTGGCATACACTGACTGACAATTACCGTTCTATGAACGGACAGATGTCGCTCACCATTATTAAAAAGGCGATCTGTCCGGCAGCCGGAGTACGAGATAACTGTATTCTCAAGGCTACTAGCGTGTTGTATGCAAAATTGCATAAGGCTGTACCTTGTTTTGTTTGGGGGAGTTCTTGGAAGATTCCAATCATAAAATGTTTCCTGATCCGATAAGATCACGTGCTTTCGGAGTCGCTCGCTTGAAACTAGGGGGGTCATCAAGTCAAGAAGCTTGATATTCTCATAAACTGCCTGACAATAAAATTACTTGATACGTTAATGCTTGATTTTTTATTGTTCTACCTGATTTGTGGTCAAGCATCTTCAAACTACTTGATACTTGAGGCAAATTATATTTTTGTTCTACTAAAATTATCACACGGCGTGTACAATGCCTTCTCAAATGATGCATGCTAACACCGTTGCCAAACCATAAAACACGAAACTGGTAGATGGTTTTGTTGCAATTCGCTAGATTCAAGGACAAAATCGTTAGGAAGAAACAATAAGGCCGGCATAAGAGAACAATTCAACAACTAATTATACATGCATTTTACAAGAACAAAATATAATATCCATTCATCGTTAGCATTTATACATGTTGCATAACAGGCAAAACTTAAAAATAATTATTTCAATATACTCGTAGGAGTGTGTTTCAAAATCTGGCCAGTTGACACTTGACAGATTATGTTTAATTTTATCACCATTGCTAATTTAGAATTTTTCATTTTTTTGTTTCAGTTGATGAAGCAATGTTTTTCTACTTGAGTATACAGTCTTATTCGTTCTATTATTCGTTATATGATAGACAAATTACTTTGTTCAATATCTATTGTTTTCTGTGAAACTTGTGACAAATAAAGTCTTTCCGTTGTGTATTTATAATCGACTCGTATTTATATTACAAAAATGATCAAGCAATATAAAGACTACTTGAATTTTCAAGTACTCGACAGATAGATGAAAAACTTCTTGCCTTGATATCAGATTGCCAATTTCTAATACTTGAGTTGAGCTTGACTTGATTTCAAGTCAAGTCAAGTATCTTGAAAATCAAGTCAACTATTTCAAACGCTCAAGTTTTCTGAAGTATTTCGGTATCTTATTGCTTTCGAGAAAAACAATATAATACGGACTTCAAAGGTATGCCGATATTCGACATTCGGATATGTCAGAATGAAGTCATCACACCACATCGTTCTTTATACTAACGCCCAAAGTCGTAATTCGAAACCTGTCGGACATATAAAACCTCAATCCTTTGATCAACACTATAAAGACGTTATCCCGGCGTTAACGGACCTAAAAGCGCCTAAACGTCCAAATTAATAATTTTCGAGGGTCGAAAATTGATTGTTGGTCATAAAAAGCGACAGCCAGAGCTTTTCGGAAGGTGTCGTAAAGAAGAGAGCCTGTATTTTATGGCTTCATCGTTCTAACCAGTTGGCTCGGTCTTCGCTTTTATTGAGTAACTCGGTGCCTTTTTTCGACCAATGGGATTGGAAGATAGGCTGTTCTTTTGTCCCGCTTGCTGGCCAATTACCAGTGCCTCATTCGAGCATGTTTGTGAAAACAGGGGAAAACTCTGATTGGCATTTTGTATAGGATATAAGAATTCAATATAAAAAGTATGAGAGACGAAGCTTTTATGTGTCGGTCCTGAGTGCTGGAGTAAAGGTGGGACATAATATCCTTCCTTTTGGTAATTCGATTTCTTGGTTTCGATTCCGGTCTCGATTTCCACGATTCGAAAACCGCAGTAGTTATTAATTATAGATTCTGGTGGTGTCAGTTACTGAACTCGAACTAGGGATGTGATGAACATCAACTTTTAAGCATGCGAATATCTACTGGCGCTATTCAGTTTCTCTTCTCTATACACCACATCAAAATGTACTTGAAGGCATGAGGACTGGGAAGCTTTCATTTTTGAAGTTTAATATTCTTCTAGTTCAGCTTGATTATTAAAAAAAATAGAAAAAAGCAAATAAGTATCTATTTTGTGAAAAATAGATATTTCCATTTTTATAGCAAGCTTCAGAAAATATTTTTTTGTATTTATATTTTAATTGGTAGAACATTTATAAGTAATTAACGATTGATAAAACTTAAAAAGAGTGTTTTTGTTTATTTGAAGTTATAATCCCACAATTATAGCTGCATTCAGTTTATTACACGTTCTCGTTTCCAAAACTCAATTTAACTCACCTCAGCTTTATGTCAAGTTTATTTTGTTTACGTGCAAAATCCAGCTAAATCAAGCTATGGGATTTTTCAACTTTGGTAACAACTATATTTTTTGCAGCGAACCAGGTCAGTAAACTTCAAAAATGGTTTGAGTAGAGCTTCATTATGAATTGAAAAAATGCCATCTTTTAAGGTTTATTCGAGCTCAGCTGTTCTTTTGGACTCTGAAGTAAGCCAGCCATTTGGGGGAAAACCGGGATAGTTTAGCAGTGAGGAGATATTAATCATTCAAAATATCAGCACAGGCAGCAACCTAATCTGACCTTGACACACTGAGAACGCATGACTATTATGTGATTTTGTTAAAATGAATCGTTTTTTGAAAAACTATTTTGTTTCAATCCAACTCTCCGATCCATTTAAGCTGCAGTCAATTCTTAAAAAATTGACAAAAGCGTAAAAGTTGACTGAGTGACCTGAAAATTTGTATCTTTGATTTTCTGGATCTCTAAATCACAAATTTATCAAAACTAATGTATCTAGAAAATGTCGAAACCAGTATACTTCATCCGGTACCAAAATTCACTGGGACAAAACTACTAGTCTCAAAAACAATTCAAATTATATCAAAATTTAGGCTTTCGAAGAATGTCATCTTTGAGCTTTTGTTATACGGGGTAGACACATTTTTTCATTGCAAGTACATATCAAAGTATTATTCATTTTATTTTTCAGAACAACAAACCAAAATGATGTAGTGGGTTGGGGCGGTGATCTGGTTTTTCAAACTATACACCTTCGTAGGCAGGCGGTAAATAATGTTTTCAATGTAAATACCGTTGAGGTTATATTTGGAACCATTCTAGCATCTAAAAAATGCACCAAAAATCAACGATTCTAGTATTCTAATATTTTCCAAACCTGTCACATGATAATTTGGTATGTGTGAATGTTTTTCTTGGTCTTCCCTATTTTCTAATTAAAACTCTAAAAATGTCTACTCATTATAAAAAAATAATGCATGCTAGCGCATGTTACTGTGATCAAAGCGACGATTCAAATATTTTTAATTTACACAGACGATGCAATGTTTGAATAAACTATTAGCAGGTTTAAAAGCTCACGGCAGAAATGTGTGTGTGTCAACTATAATAGAGGTAAATATTTGATGCGTTTCAAGAATGAAGACATTGTGTTAGAGATACGAAATGGAGATGTTGCTAAGATAAGTGTTTTAATTACTTTCATATAGCTGCATTTCACTGCGAACTAAAAGTAAGTTCTTCTTGAGACGTGCATAAATTATATCAAGCTCTATTCTTCTATTCAAACAACATATTCATAGAAACCTCCACGATTTTTCAGTTTCGAAACACGCGACAATGAAGTTGTGCAATCTACATATTTATAGAAAGTTCGCGATTTTTTAGCTTCCAAACACGCGACAATGAAGTTGTACACCTCCACATATAACTAAAGACAAACATTACCAAGTTTAATTTGTATTAGGCTTACCGGAAAGCTCGGTCCGCTTCTTGGTTATAATAAAATATTTTTTATACCTTGGATAAACTTTATTTTCTTCATTATTCAATTTGTCAATCTGTATATTAAAATGTTATTAAAGCTCTTATTCCTAGGTGTGAAAAATTGATTCAGTGCTTGTTGGATATCAGCTTCGTTTTTGAATTGTTCACCGTACAGTAGCAGTCGGAGAGTACTGGATCTGGAGAGCGATTTTTATGGGTATTTAAAGCAATCTGTGAACTGGCATTATCATGCAGCATACAGATTGTTCTTTCTAAATGTTTCCATTTGTTGAAAATGCCTATACGAATTTTGCTATTCATTCTACAAACTTTAATGAATGAATTGAATGTACCAACATTTTCCTGGTGAGGATAAAATTCGGCTTAGAGGTGGAGGAAGTACGTTTTCTCGTTTCACGGTATACTCTTTTCCTCACGACTTGTTCATACATGATCAACTCTTGATCTCATGTTGTTAGCCCATCCAAAAATGCTCGAATCTTTCTACTCCGTGCAAGTAGATATGGGAATGATATGAATGTATCTTTTAAGTAATCCTAATTGGTCCGAAATAGTATGTTCAGCTGATTCTAGTCGTTTTACGATCCCTGATGTTATCAAAAAAATATTTTGCTTTAGCATGTTGGTAGTTTATTATAAAATGTTGCCCAGCATGGTTTATCGAAATGCTCAAATTCATCCGTCTGGAATTTTTGAAGCGTCTTCTGTACAGGGTGGCCCATCCATGTGTGGACGGAGTATAACTCATAAACAAATACATTTTGGGAAAATCTATTTGTAGCATGTTATATATGACATTTGAGGGCACAAAAGAAGAAGATTGATATAACGTACTATGGGGTTTTGGTTATTAGCTACTGATATGTAAGTTGTTTTGTCTAGAAAAACCGTCGATTTCGGCAACCCCTCAATCCGCCATTTTGAAATTTGGAGTGCTAAATTTTGTATAAAAAAACCCACACACCTCAGCTTCTATCTTATTTGTTACTTTTCCGAATTTCAATTTTTGCTCATATAGAGTGGTCAAAAACGCAAATTGTAGTTTTTCTCAAAAATTTCAAATGCATTACCCTCTATATTTGTGCAAGTTTGGATTCGATTTTTTATTAGCTTTTTTTGACACCAGACACATAAGGGTTTTTACTGCTATTTTTTCGGTTATTAGCACGTCTTGAATGGAAAGGCTTAATTCCCTAAAATAATGGAAACAAATAAATTGTTGATTAGTTACAAACTGCCAAAAATTAGCCTCGTGAGCATTATAATAAAAACGTGTTTGAAAATAAAAATTTTTAAAGAAGAATTGGTGAAAAAGGTGTTCGTTTTGGCGAAGCCCAAAGAAATAGTTTCCTAGCATCTCGCATTTATACGCAACGGTACCCTAATATGCGACATCGAAGGCCGGAAACATTTTCCACACTAGGAGAACGTTTCGAATCAAGTGGAGCAGTGGAATATAGTAAAAAAAAGTATAAATAATCCAAGTGTCACCAATGAGGCGAATGAGTTGGAGGTTCTATTAAAGTTGCAGGAAAATCCTCATTTAAGTGCACGGCAAACTGGAGCAGAAACTGATATTTGCAGAACTTCTATCCAAAGGATTATTCACAAGCATAGGTACCATCCATATCACCTATGCTTGCATCAAGGCCTTCGTAATCGGTAAAATATCGGCCGACCACATTTTAATAGTAAACCATTGGAAGTCATTGAAGCTTGCACACTGGCCGACCACCGACCGGCATCGGAAAAAAGCCGGTTAGCAGCCGGTCATTGTCACTGTGATGCACCGGTACCGGGAATATAGAGACATAAGTGTTTGAATAGGAGCTTGCACACTCACCTATTATTTAATGGTCGTGATTACGACTGCATATACGTTTACGATGGATAAATAGATGAATATACTTATTGCGCTAGTTGAAGCAAGACCAGTTTTATCGGATAAAACTTTGGTCATATTTAAAGGCAGAAACGCTACTAAAGAAGCATGGACCCAACTTTGCTGCGAACTGAATGAGGATTTTAAAGAAATGGTGTCCAAAGATAAAAATAAATCCAGAACTTTCGCTTAATTGATCTAGCATTTCCCTTTGCTTTTGGAGGATGTCAACCTGCAAACTCGGATGCATATGTACTTCCAACATG